TCTTTCTACCACATACAACTCACTAACACAAGTCTTCAATTTTTTATTTTTTGTTTTTTTATCGGCAGCAAGAGTATGTTTAAGTTAATTTGTGTGTCAATCTAAACTATGTATTTTTTTTAGACCATTGTAAATGCGTGTCACCTATATATATTGATTTAGTATATTTTAAAAAATAATAATAAATTTTTCTATCTACTGATCTCAAAATTTGAACTTATCAATGATGATAATAATAATAAAAACAACCTATCTGTAACTACTGGACAAATATCTTGAAGTTAATGAAAATAGTTCATTAGCTTGTATATTTATTTATAACTTTTCGGAAGTTTGACTTAACTTCTCCTGAATTTCTATGATGGCCTAGAGATACTAATGACTACCAATTGCTTCATTATGGTATCATTGATTAATTATTTGCCAATAATTTCGTAGTTGTGATGCTTAACATGGTTTCCTTGGTTATACAAGTCAGAATCCTCCCTTCTCCTTTTTTGTTTTTGTTTTTTGGTTTATTCACATTTTTTTGATGTTGGGCACAAATCTTTCTTAAACTTTAACTCATTTAAAAATTAAATTTTTGTAATACTTGAGTTTTTAATTTTTTATAATTTAGTCTATTTAATAATTTTTAGCTATCATCTTCCTTTTTAAGAAAATTTAATTTTTGATATTTTGAATTAAAATTTCACAGACATGTTAAAAAGAAATCCAACCTATTTAAAAAAAAAATCCTAAAATTTTTTAAAATTAAAAGTATATTTTATTTTTTATTTTTTAAATATTAAAAATATAAAAAATTAAAAAATAATCTCAAATGATCTCAAATTTTTTAAAATCTCACATAAATATCAATAAATCATTTAAAAACTAAATTTAAAGTTCAAGAATTTAATTCTAAATGAATTGAAGTTCGAGAAAAATTTGACCGTTTAACCTAGGGTTGGGTTGGAATAAAATATAAAAAGCAGAAGTTGATGTAGTTTCCTACAAATACCTTCTTTCTTTTTCCCGTCAAACTCCATACAGTTTTAGGAACTAGTCATGTTTTGGTTGGTGGGTCAGAGTAGTTACAGTACGAAGGATTTAAGACCCCGATAAGCTTGAATTAATTGGTTAAACTAAAAGTGGTTGGAACAGGCAAAGGACAAAATGAATTATTATTGTGTTTTAATGAAGGACAAATGAATTGATGAAAACTAATGATTCTTATTACCTTTTCAGAGGGATGTATCTTCCTCCCTTTTTATGCCACTAATCGGCGTGTCTGTACGGATGGTAGCAAAAAAATAGAGAAATAAAGAATTGTCAGTACGTACACTACCAAGTGCCAGTACAGAAAAAACGCAAGAATCAACAGTGAATTATCTTAAATTTAATTAAAAATTAATCTGCACGACCTACATGCTGCCATCAGTAGTATCCTAGCAAAACTGAAAACATAAGATAAATCTTGAATTCAGTTTTTTTTTTGTCATTTAGATAATTATAAAAAACTCAAAGAAAAGTCTCTTGATCTTATCGTTTGGATAATTATTAATAACACATAAAAAGTGAATAATTGTAAGTCACTGGATGGATTATAATTCTTAAAGATTTCCTATTTTAAGATAAATGGTTGTTTCTATCGAACGATGAAGATAAATTTTAGCATACCACAAATCTAGCGATTTATTAATTTTTAAAAATCTTTCCACTACTCATAGTTTAAATCGGGCTAATATCTATTAACATTCATCTTGATCATTTGATTTTTTACTCTACTCTCGTATACAGACATAAACATGGAATCTATTATAAAAATAATTCATAGATTCAATGTTTTTGTAAGATGGTTGGATCCACTTTTTAATATACTGAATAGTTACTCTAATAATAATAGATAAAAAAAAAATCACAATTTATGGAAACCAAGCAACAAAAACAATAATTTGAAACGGAACTGAGTTGTCATCTTTGTCCTTTAAAATACCACACAACTTCATTCGATTTGATCACTAGCTAGAGTTGTCATCTTTGTCCTTTAAAATACCACACAACTTCATTCGATTTGATCACTAGCTAGAGAGTGTACTTAACAGCGTATGATAATGAAGGCACTATTTCTAATACTGCTATGGTGCCTTACCTTTGTATTCATACTGGCACAAGGGCACCAAAAGCAGCTTCTTAATGGTCGGATGCAAAACCTTCATTCATGGCTACACTTACACCCCAAACTTTCACTACACCAACAGGTCAAGTGCATGGGGTTTTTCCGTGCTGGAGACAAATGCATCCACGGCATTTATATGTCTTTCTGGACAAGAAATAATATTTCCATAGGGTCATATTGCTGCAAAGCCATTCAAAATATTTATTTTGCTTCAAAAGTAATATATTTTGTGATGAAGTCGTGACTTTTTGGATTGCTTGAACGGTTGGATGTTATTTTTTCTTGGTAGATCGTAAAGCATAGATTTATTCTTTTCTTAGAGTTTTATTACGAGTATTTGCAAAACAAAGTCCTTATTTTGATATTTGAAAAACCCTCAAATGGTTAAATTAACATATAGAGAGAGGTGTTTAATCTGATTGGGCTTACTAATATATCTTTTAATGAGTTTGACCTAATTGGACTTAGCTGGTATGTTTTTTGTCGTCATTTGGAAAAAATATACGATGCTTTTTTTCTTTTTTTAATATATAGAGTGTAAAAGGCATAACCTGACCTCTTATCATGTGTGAGGTTAACCTTTATATAGTGGCTTGAGATGATTAACTTGCATGGAGTTGAGGGCATGTTCATTTTTTTCTCAAGAGTAAAAAGGATTTTTCATGTATTTATGCAACGGCTTCTGATTAGAGTTTTTGTAAGTTGAAGATCCTTTTAGGTGACTATCATTTAGGTATTGATGCAAGTACCATCATTTCTAACTATGACGTGAAGGGTGGTGTCTTTCATTTAATACTTGTCCTTTATGTTTCTTTCCTATAGGACAAAGAACTAAACCCAGAGATTGACGATGAGTTAGACAAACATACGTTCCTAGTTGTAGAGGTTTTTATATTTAGAGAGGATATACAATGTCATTTTGTATGTAAAGGGTATAGAAGGTAGAACCTAACCTCTTAACATTTGTGAGATTAACTTTTATATAGTAACGAGGGATGATTATCTTATATGTAGTAGGGGGCATGCTTATCTTCTCTTGAGGATAAAAAGAGCTTTTTATCTATTTGTATAAAAATTATGACTAGAGTTTTTGTAAATTAAAAATCGTTTCAGGTGAATATCTTATAGGTATTAGTGTAAGCATGATTGTTTCTAAGAATGGGGTGTAGAACGAGGTCTTTCATTTAAAACATATTATTTGTGCTTCTTTCTCGTTGGAAGAAGTATTAAAACCAAATATTGGTGATAAGCTCGGTGAACGGGTCTTTTTGGTTATAGGGTTTGTTTGATATGGGAGTCATGTGGACTATTTAAATCAGGTAAATCCATTTTCATAGTTTGATGAGAGACACGAGTCGGATCGCATTTTTATAAACATACCATTTTCTTTGTTTGCAGCTTTTGTATTTTGCTTGGGTACAAGCGAACTGCTTTTTTTTTTTTTTTTTTTTTTTTTTTTTTGGAATAAGAGCATATATATGCCAATTGTCAGCAAAATATTAACTTTTAATAACAAACCCTTGCTTAACTTTTTTTCTTTTTAATGTTTTTCAAAGTTAACTAGCTGGTTGTCTGTGGTATGTTATGTGTAAAGTAAAACAAAATTACTTCACAATTTGACAATTAAATTTTATTTAATTAATTTCTTCTATGCTTTTCATAAATTTTATACTTGAAAATAATAATTCATTTTTCTTTATGCATTGATTATTAAATTAAAATTAAAATAATTTAAATTAAAATATTAATCTAGAATTAAAAAAATATTTTAAAAATTTTGGTTTTATAATATTAAAAAATAATAACAAATGATTGATGATATGTGTATAGATATATAATTAATTTTTAATAAAATCAATAATTTATTATTTTTTTATATATATCATGATTATACAAGTGCGTTGAGTGTATGCAGTATAAAATGACAATACAATAAAAAAAGTCTCAAATAAATTATTTGAAACATATTATATATATTTCATTCTTGCCGAGATTGTATGAAAAAAGAAATTCAATATTTCATAATTTTTGCTATAAATTCAAAAAAAAAAATCCATTATTGAAAAAATAAACTGAGACTAGGCCTGCTCCCCAGCCCGCACTCTCAACTGGGCCTGGTTTCAGCCTGCGCTTGGGCCTGGAACATTGCTAGAGTTGATAGGTTTAATTTTGAATCAAGTAGCTGTATATATAACCAAACAGAACGTTAAAGTAGACAACGGTTCGACGAGACCAGATGCTGTGGTCTTGGTCCGTCCATGAATATGTGAAGTTACTGTCCTGTCATGCCTCCCACATTTGAGTTAAAGCGGCATCCCCGTCCACCGTAAATGGGTGGCAGCTAAACATCGGTGGAGTTTCTTTGTGCTTTCATTTACCAAATCAAAATTACGATTTGTTCTAAAATATGCCTTTTATTTTTATTTTATCGACCTATTAACAAATGATTCGAAGTATGAGGGATTATTTTCAGGCCAAATCTCTTATGTTGTTGTTAATATTTAAAATCTTAAATGTTTTCCTCGTAAAAGAATTCCACTAAACTATTTATGTTACAAATTCCCTTAATGGTATGTAAGGCACCACTGGTCTCAAAGTCTCAACTCTCTATAGATTGGACTTAAATAAATCTCTTTGTAATTTTGCAGTCTTAATGATTTCAAATTATGTCAAACGAAGAGTATTTCAGGCATTTTACACCCACTCCACACCAAACTAAAAAAACCAAAAAACAGAACAAATCCTCAGTTCCTTTTAACACTACCGGTAACCAAAGGCACCAACAACAACTCCATCATCTTCACAATTACACATCTCTCTTTTGCTCTCCTGTTCTCCGATCATGAAACGACAGCTAGCTCATTTAACCGTCTCGTCCTTCACGTCGTTCCTCTTTATTCTATTACAATCAATCCTGGCCGTCGGATTGGATGATCGTCAACAAGCACATGACCCAGCTCAGAGTCTGCTCAAAACGGCACTGCAGCAAAAAGCAGAGGAGATAAAGAGCCTTCGGGTGCGGGCAGGCGCTCCGTTTAAGATAGCGCTTTTTGCTGACCTGCATTTTGGAGAGGACGCGTGGACTGAGTGGGGCCCACAACAGGATGTTAACTCTGTCGAGGTCATGTCCTCTGTGCTCGACGATGAAACACCAGGTGATGCTGCTCTCAGTGTCCCTCTTAACAGAAAAAAATACACATTCATTTGTTTAAAAATAGAGAGATTTCCTTGACTTGGATTATTAAGTTAGTTACTTTCTTGTTGAGGTGTAATATGATCTCCTTTTTTTTATATATGTATTTTAGTTTAATTCTAGTTAACATAATATAGTATTTAGCAGATTTTGTAATATATCTTGGGGATGTAATAACGGCCAACAACATACCAATTGCAAATGCAAGCTTGTATTGGGATAAAGCAATCTCTCCAACAAGGGCTAGAGGCATACCTTGGGCTAGTGTCTTTGGTAACCATGATGACGCACCCTTTGAGTGGCCAGTGGAGTGGTTTTCTCCTCCTGGAATTCCTCCAATTGATTGCCCTGCACCTAATGCATCATCATGTTCAGGTGAGACTTGAGAGTTTTAAGTTCCAAGGCATGGAAATGGAATAATTAATAATTTCTTGATGACCCGTCTGCTTTTTACTTACTTCTTGATGTTTTTCAAGGTATCAGTAGTTCTTTTTTTCCTTTCAAGATGGAGTCTTTCTTTGAGCTAGTATATAATCTTTGATCATGTTAGTTCATCTGATACATGAATTGCTTTATTATTATTATTATTATTATTATTAAAAGAGGTTGATATTTAGCTTTTCTTACATAGGGATACAATTTCCGTTCCAGGGGAAAAATACTGTAGCTTCAGAGGCACACAACGAATAGAGCTAATGAAAAAGGAGATTGAGCATAATCTCCTAACATTGTCTAAAAATGGTCCGAAAGATCTGTGGCCAAGTATATCCAACTATGTCCTCCAGCTCTCATCATCAGATGATCCAGAGTCACCACTTTTGTTCATGTATTTCTTAGATTCTGGTGGCGGATCCTATCCTGAAGTTATTTCTAATGCTCAAGCAGAATGGTTCCAGCATATATCTCAGGAGATTAACCCTGATTCAAGGTAGAAATTATATGTAAACGCAAGCGAGTTGGACTCCTAGGGCTAATGGTCTGGCTTGTTCTAACGTGGCCAGTCTCCAACAAGTGGAGGATTAGTTGTGGTATATCTGAAGGATCCCGTGGATGCCCCCACATCATAAGGACAAGTGAAACAATGTTGAATTGAAATTATAGGGAACAAATTGGGAATTTCATTAACCAATTTTTTTTCGCTTTTTGCAGGGTTCCTGAGATTATCTTTTGGCATATACCAAGCAGAGCTTACAGGAAGGTGGCTCCTAGGTTAACGATATGCAAGCCTTGTGTTGGTTCCATTAACAAAGAAAAAGTTGCTGCTCAAGAAGCTGAATTGGGTATTATGGACATGCTAGCTAAAAGGTCTTCTGTCAAGGTAAGGTCTTGCACTATAAACGATGTTTAATGCTTAAAATTAACTTACACTTTGAAGCCATTGTGGAAGTTTGAAAATTTAGGATAATCGAAAAAATTTGGAGCATTATGTTTTATTGTCTTCTTTCAAAAGTTGAAGGAAGCTTATTGAACAGCTGAACAAATACCTTAAGAGTTCCAATAAGTTTTGATGACCCAATAATGAAGTCTTCGTGATAGGGGACGAAATAGAGGATGTGATCCGCATGTGGATAAGATTTTTGAAAGTTGAAGCTCAAATAAAGTTGTTTGTTTGCTTTAAATTTTGATAAAGCCAAATGGGGTTCCTATTGATCGCACTTCTTTGGATTGTGGCAGGCAGTATTTGCAGGACACAACCATGGATTGGACTGGTGCTGCCCCTACAAGAAACTTTGGCTATGTTTTGCAAGGCATACTGGTTATGGTGGATATGGAAACTGGCCTAGAGGAGCTAGAATTCTGGAGATTAATGATCAGCCTTTCTGCATCAAGTCATGGATAAGGATGGAAGATGGAAATGTACACAGCCAAATTATCTTGAGTTCTTGACAGGTTTACCTATGTAATAGTACTGTCAAGAGAAAGGAAAAATCTCTAAATATCAGTCTGTTTGTAATGATTCAACATGTTGTAATGCTAATTTTTTCCCCCTTTTTATCAGTCCATAAAAAAATTCAACCCAAATCGCTATATCTTAGAATTCTAAACTAGTCAAAATGCATTAACACATCTAGACGCGGAGAAGGCCTGTCAAATGTCAAGCAAATCATTCTCATGTACTAGTGCTAGTGTTAACATTTCCCATCACTGTACAAGAGTTTCTAAAATGGAAAGGAACCATGGTGGGCAAACCTTATAAAAAATGCCCCTGAGCTGAATAGCTTATAGCTAGTATTAATTTTGGGCTAAACCCACTATATCTGGTGTTTTCATAAATCTATCAAATAAGTTTTTATATTTTCAATTCGATCAATTAAACAAATGTATTTTCAATTTCAGTCAATTGATTTTTTTTTATTGCAAAATCAATAATTTTTATGTCAATTTGAATTAAAAAATAAAAATAAAAACCATACAAAGTGGGATCCATATATGGTATTTATACATATGTATATTATATTTTTATTCGATCTAACCTATCAAAATTATCAATTTTGCAAAATCGTACTCAAATGACTGAAATCTTAAATACATATGTTTAATTGATCAAATTAAAAATACATGAGGTCATTTGATGGATTCATAAAAACATAAGGTGCAAATAGTAAGTTTGCAAGTAGTAAGTTTAACCTTCATTTTGCCTTCAATATATCTATATATATCAATTGGGCATCTCAAGTTTCAAAAAATTTCAATTAACTCTTTGATAATGAAACCCATCCAAATTATACTATTTTGTAAGAAACACCATTTTATAAGAAACTCAACGTTTTTTACTAAAAAAAATTTAATAGAAGGCTCCAATCATGAAAATCAAGATTTTTAAGAGATACAATTGATACGAAAAATTATTTGGATGAATATCCGATACTAACCCGATAGTTGACGAGTCATTTTTTAAGATTACTCAACCATGTTTTATAGATTCTTTTGAATGTTAATCTATGATTAGTGTTGATATATTTTTTAAATAAAAAATCGTCGCTATATCAATTTTATTTTTATTCTCATCATTATTTTTTGTGAGATTATATGAAAAATACAAAAGAAACTATTAATTATTTGGAAAAAAAATTGATATCGAGTAAATAATAAATAATGAAAAAAAGAAATGCCAAAGGGTTGGTTTTGTTGGTTCCGAATGGTAGTTGTAACTAATTTAAGGCAAACCCAAAAAAAAAAAAAACACTTAGTTGTTGTTGGATTATATTTGGTAGGAACAACATGATATTATAAACTACATTTGTATTGTTTTTTTTTTTTTTCACGAAAAAACACAACAACAATTTTGTTGCTAAGTCTTCCAAGTTACATGGACTTTGCGAATTTACGATAACTTTGACAACAACGAGTGACCATGACCACTTGTATGAATTTCGGAAAGGTTTTTGGGTCGCTTTGGTGGGACCCATATCATATTTTGACAACAAGTAGTTGCTTTCTTTTCCCGACTAACCGAATAATCAATTATCATCGAGACAAAAAGAGTAAAACCGATTTCGAATCGAACATCTAAACTATAAAACATTTTGGGTAAAAAACTTTGAAACAATTTCACTCTTTAAATTGGAAGAAAAAAATAACCGGAATACTTAAAAAATGTGAATGAAACCATTACATTTCGTTTAAATACTTGTCGGCTTAAATGTGATTGAAGCGAATATTCCTATAATGGCCTTTTAGAATAAACTACCATGTTTCTCTCGTTTTATATGTACGTACTTAAATGTGAAACTTGTGCCTATTTTGTGGTTTGATTGACTCACCGTGTTGATTGTAATGCTAAAATGAAGCTATCGATGACTTATCACTTATGTGACGAAACTCTCGATGATTTCGGAATAATTTTACTCGTTTTTTGTTTCCTCAAAACGAAGTCGTCGGTGACTTCTCACTTATGTGACGAAGTCATTGATGACTTTTAAACTCGTTATCCGCTCCTTGCTCGAGCAAAATTGAAGTTGTCGGTAACTTTTCGCTTGTATGACAAAATTATCGATAGCTTCCCGGATTGATGACTCAAAGTTGTCGGTGGCTTCCTACGTGTGTGAGTAAAGTCGGCGATGACTCGCTACTCATGCTAATAAAAGGTGATCTATCTTTAAAAGCTCACTTATTTATCAATAATAAGTCGTGTTCACTAAAGACTAGCTGAAATTCCAACTTCTCCTTACCTTTCCCCTTTGGATGAGGGATGTTAGCCTTAGATTGGCTCGAAACCCCTAAACTATCATGTTTTTATATCGAAACCTCTAAACTACCATGTTTTACATTTAATTCCCAAACTACCATGTTTTACTTTCAAACCCCCAAACCACCGACTTTTAATATTTTAATAAAATAAAATTATTTAAATGCGCATAAATGTATAACACGGTAAAAATTAGATTTTTTATGTTTATAAGCAAATAATGCAGACTTACTTTGATGGGATAGTAGTGATATTATATCTTTTTTCATACGTAATTGACTTCTTACCTAAATATCTATACATACCGGTATGTTTAGGGTTTTTTAGTTCTCTTCGATTAGCTTGGTGGTGACTTCTATGTCATGCCTCTCACAAGAGGTCGACATCGACAATTATCAATAAAGGTGATAGAGACCGAAAGTGTAAACGAGGTTGAAGCTAATGTGGGAGAATTATTAATACTAGATAGAGCATTTGAACTTGACTTTGTTGATGTAGAGGATGAGTGAAAGAGGAAAAGTATCTTTCGTTTTGATGTCAAGGTTAAGGAGTAGGTGTTGCATGGTATCATTGATAGTAGGACGTGTAATAATATGATATCTAATGAGATGGTATATAAATTGATATTGGCTACGATCAAACATCCGAGGCCTTATATAATGACATGAGTGGCTAAAAATAAATAAATGCTTAATGGACGAACGATGCTTAGTGAAGTTCACTATTGGGAGATACTATATACGAATAAATTATGAATTGATATGATGTCCATGGATGTACGTCATATGATATTAGGGAGGCCATAAAGATCCAATCGAAGAGTTACTCATGATAGATATCTTAATACTCACAAGTTTATCATAAGAGATTATCGGAGCACCTTATATCCAACTAGATGAGAATCCATGGTTAGAATTGAGGTTGAAAAGAAGGAAGAGAGTATAGCTAGTTCATTAAATTTATATCTTGGTAAGTCACATCCAACTAGTTATGATTATGGTTCCATAAATTTTTATAAGATTGATCATAATAGTATTTTTTAGCATGCTAAGACTAGCAGGGGTAAAGAATTTTATTGATTTGAATACTAGTCCTATATATGATGTGTATGATGATGATGTGTTAGATGTTCCTTATGTTATTGATATTGGATAAGATGGAAAAATATATATCATACATCATGATATGGAATAGCATGGTGAGATGCTTAAGGTTGGAAATGAATATTCTATAGATAAGCATGCTGATATGCTTAAAAATTATGATTTGAATATAATGGATGGTACAATTTATGGTGTTAGTGATGTTACCGATTATGTTAACCAAGTTGCTATCATTGATAATGTTGATGGTAGTGTCGTAAATCATGGGTTTATCATGAAAGTTGTTGAAGGCAATAAGAGTTACTTAAGGATCTGTCCAAGATAGAGGAATGAAAGAATATGTTGTTATCATTGAGAACCAAATAAATTTATGAATTGATGTTGATAACTCGAGGGACAAGAAGATGGTGCTGCTCGTCAAAACCATTCGCAGTACTTTAGAGCTATTACCATGAAAAGAATGAAAGGAGTTGCTATTGCAAAAAGAGGAAGGAAGCTAGAGAATCAAATAGAGGTTGTTTCTTGTTTTGAATTAATAGTTAGTATAAACAATGATGGAAACACAAGTAAGAAGAAACCATGGATTGAAGTTTTTAGATTTTAAACCAAATCAATTTATAATTTTGACAATCTATTACCAAGAAGAAGCAAGTATAAAAGGGAATGTTTATTAAGCTTGAAGACATGGAAGATCCATTTTGAGTTACTAAGAGGATGGGTGAGCACACCTATAAGATAGACCTACCTAGAGATTAACTAGTCTTAACTACTTTTAAAGAGAAAGACCTTTCATCATACTTTATTAAGGAAGATAAGGACTATGATGTTAAGATTGACTCTTTTTCAATCTAAGGAGTATGATGCGGGAGCATCCCTCCCTCTCATTTGGTTGAAAGTTTCCCCTACATAGTGGTTCAAAACTTTTAGCCTTCGTCTTATTTATTTTCTTGTTCTTTTATTTATTTGGCTTATTTTTATTTGTGTGGATTTGAGCTAATTAATTATTCCTCATGTTTTTTTGGATTTTTTATTTAAACTAAGACGTGATCAAATGTTTGGCCCAAGTAGGGGATTGAATTCTTCGAGTGTTATGAATCCTTATTTATTTATGAGTTCATGTAATATGTAGATCTATATTGAATTAAGTTAAATTAATTAGAGTTCTAATTGAATATGGATAACATAAGTTCAAGTCTAATTAGGAAAAAGAGTCAATTTGGCCAAGGGGAGAAAACTCAACCCTAGGCGACTCTTTAGGTTTTAGGGGTAAGTATTTAAGTAAAATTTGTGCTTCTTTTTCAGTAGACTTTGATAAAATTTTGAATAAAAAATTAGATAGTTCTCTCTACAACTTATTTTCATATTTCATTTGCTTGGATTAGTTAGGACTTTATCAAACACATCCTTGGAGTGATCGACTAAGGTGGACTCGGATCAACAATTACATTCGGTAGACCCTTGGTGAACGTATTTGATAATTAATCCCTAAATAAACTTGGGTGGAGGATTTTTCCTAAGGGTGAGACGTTGGAGCTTGCATTTATTTTGTTTGATTGATAAATGAAGTTTAACTTGGATTCCAAGATTAAATAGTT